CTAAATCCATCTTTTACAGCCTATTTCTTCCCTCAACCAAGCCAAAAGATTGCACAAGCTGGAATAAACAGCCATCAGTCCCCTCCCAGAAACACATCCATTGGCAAATGGGCTTTAAGGTCACATCAAATGGGTGTTTAAATAATCCTGCTGACTTGTGTAAGCAGTAACCACCCCTGACTGAAGTCAATACTTGATCAAGATCATTTACTCTGCACAAGTCATAAATGATCTTGGTTTTGCATTGGACTGTGAAACTGGTCAGTGCCACTGAGATGCTCTTGTGTGCCATGTCCAGCACTGCAGCACTTGGGTTTGTCCTGCACATTTCACAGGAATTTTACACCATGGAGACACTGAGGAAATTCTGCTTTCAGTGCTGGAAGAAAGCAATACACCAGCGAGGCCAGTGCTGAAACAGCCTGTCCACAGCACCTACCCCAGCTCCGGTTCCTAAAACACCCAATAGCTGTGTCGAGGCAGGACAACAGTCACTGCATTGATGCATTTCCACCCCTGATTCCCTTCTCCTTACTATGATTGTATCAACTTGTTCTGCCCCAATAACCAATTCACAAGCCCTCAAAAGTGTCTGCGAGTTCCAAAAGTGAGAATATTCCCAACAAGCCCCAACACTGCTCAGAACAAATGGGTACTACAAGTAATACTCTTCTTGTTTGTCCTGAATTCCCCTGAAAGAGAAACAGCTCTGGCAGACACACGACGAGGAGCTGTCCTGGGTGCAGTCATCACTCATTTACCAAAGCAGACCTGAACTGCAACGGTTTGCTGCCAACTGAAGTGCTGTCTCACAAGCTTGTGGGCAAAGGGTCCTGCTGGAGCACAATGCTGTTAGCTACATCGCTGTAGGGAGCTGGAATTCCCAAAAGCAGAGAAGCCTCAGCCTGACATTCACAGATCACCCCAGCTACCTGCTAAAATACGCTTCTCCCTTCCCCTTTTATAGGAAAACCTGTAAAATGCTCATGGCTCACACTGTGGTTTACATCTCCAAGCTTGCCTCTTCACGCAGACCTGTGGAAACTGCAGGTCACCAAAGGCTCTTTCAGCCCTTTCGTGCTGCCTATCAAAGCGCAGGAGCAGACCCTGAGGAGGGAGCAGGATTATTGCCCCGTCCCTGCTCAGCGCTTCTCCTCGGTGCTGCTGGAGGTGCAGCCTGCACCAGCCAGATGCATGTCCAGAGAGCACAGCTGATCCCTAGTAATGAATCCCGGGATTCCTGAAAGTAAGGGAATTATCATTGTTTAAAACAATGCATGTTTCTGCCTTCCTAGATTAACATCCAATTAAAGAAGCCCAATGTATTTCATAGAATCATAGAATGTTTTGGGTTTGGAAATGACCTTAAAGCTCATCCAGCTCCAACCCCTGCCACGGGCAGGGACACCTTCCACTAGAGCAGGTTGCTCCAAGCCCCTGTGTCCAACCTGGCCTTGAACACTGCCAGGGATGGGGCAGCCACAGCTTCTCTGGGCACCCTGTGCCAGCAACTCAGCACCCTCACAGGGAAGAACTCCTGCCTAAGATCCCATCTCAATCTCTCCTCTGGCAGGTTAAAGCCATTCCCCTTGTCCTGTCCCTACATCCCTTGTCCCAAGCCCCTCTCCAGGTTTCCTGGAGCCCCTTTAGGCACTGGAGCTGCTCTAAGGTGTCCCCTTCAGGAGCCTTCTCTTCTCCAGCTGCCCCAGCACAGCTCTCTCAGCCTGGCTCCAGAGCAGAGTTGCTCCAGCCCTCGCAGCAGCTCCATGGCCTCCTCTGGACTCGCTCCAACAGCTCCATGTCCCTCTTATAACACTTTCCAACCTCACTTTGCCATACTGCACATTCATGACTCATTTCCTTTATCTGGGGGGAAAAGGCTTTTGTAATACAGTGCACAAATTAACACAAGAGCCAACTGAAAACACACAGGGAATTTGGAATTCCTGAAAGCAGACCTGGCTAAGTACAGGCTCTAAGAGCACCAGAAAGCACCAGCCAAGCTCCAGCACCCCTCAGTTTTTCTCTCTCCCCAACTCTGTACTACTGGGTAGACAGTACAGTTTAAACATCTACAACAGCCCTCAACACCTCTGTGCTAGTAAACACCAGATTTCACCCAGTCACCACTGTGGTTACAGAATATGCTCTTTGTTAGACTCTTCTCTTAATCCTACTTTTAGCTACTACCTGCTGCAGGCTGAGTATATTAAAGAGTTCTTCTTCCAGGACACTGTCCCTGCTTTACAGCTGTACTATCATCACCCATCAGTTTCCTCTCGCAATGCTTTTCTTGTCTACCCACTGGACAAATTTGTTTGCTCACAAACAGGCACCTTGGGGACTCTGGAAGCCACAAGAGCCTGAAAACCCCATGGCACTGTAAGCAGTGTGAGACCTGACGCAGAAAACAAGTGTTTCTGTATCAAAAGACTCCAACTTCTTCATTTTTGCAGCTAACATTAATTAGCCTCACAGCCCATCTGGCAATTTGCAAACCATTACCAGGCATTCTTTGGACCTTGAAATACTTAACATAATGAGGCCCTAATAGGGACTAAGCCTTCCATAAAAACCATTTTAACTCCAGGAAAATAAGGACACTTAGATTGAAACACTCTTCCTTAGCGACTGGAAGTGGCACTTCAGAAAGAAACTGTTATGTAAAAACAAAAGGAGTGGATAGCCTGGAATGCCAGGAGCAAAAGCATCCAGGTCTTCCAGTGCTCGCTGCACCAGCCAGCTTCAGTGTTTACAACAACTTTAATAATTCATCTGAGAACATCAAAATCACTGCTAAAGCCAAATTAACTATTTGATCCTCATTCGTACTGCATCTGAAGGTTTTACTTCCACAGCATCAGAAGCTGAAGGCAAGTTACACCACAGAGGAAAAGGTTCCTAATAATTAAACTTTCATCCTGGGCTGCCTGTATTAGCTTGGAGTTGCCAGGACTTAGAGGAAAGGATTTAAAGCCAGTCTTGCCATGGGTGCCAGAGTCAGCTTCCTAGTGAAAGGGATAAGCAGCCGAAGGGAAGTCCGCCAGGGTCTGCAGGAAATCTTTGTTAAATTACTTGACCTTTTAAATTTGAGAGGGATGAACGAGGAGAGCATCCCGTTCCCTGAAACTAGTGGAAGCTCATTTCCTACACTGGGAACAGTTCTCTGGCATTGGATAGGAAAGAAAAACAGCCAGGCATGAACACTATCAAAAAGCAACTCCTACCACATACACCATAAAATCCCACAGTGAGACATATACAAGGGTCCTTTTCTTTCATCTTATAAATAACAACATTCTGCATCAGGCAGTTCACAAGTAAGTGTTGCTATTTACTGCAAATAAGCAGTCAATAAAGATTCCTGCTTCCGAGCCTCCAGCTCCTACCTGGGAAGTTAATTTCCTTCACTACTAAACTTCTGTGCTGGGAGAGGTCCATCACCACCCTCATCAGGCAGGGCCAGTCACAGAGAAGGTGGTTTTATCTGCTAACAGCCGGAGTGAACGCAGCCCACCGACACCACAGAAGTCAGAGATCCATCAGCAGAGGGGATCTATGGGGCATCATCTCATTTCAGTTCCTTGTACCATACCCAGAGCATCCCACAAGTGGTATCAGAACATCCCCAGCACGCAGGGATGCTGATACCTCACCCAGAGCTGAGTGCACAAGCCTGAAGCACAGCGGGCAAGGCTCCTTCTGAGGGTTGGGACACGGAGGGACCAGAGCCGCCTGAGAGCTGTCCCTGGCTTGGCTGTGGCAGTGCCACAACCCAGCGAGGGCACCCAGGGCTTCCATGGGGGCAGTTGCCCCAAATCCTCCCCAGGAAAGAAGAAAGGTGCTGTTCACGACTGTAGGAACAGGATAAGGTAGAGGCAGAAGGTTGCATGTCAAGACCATCACCGGTTGCCAGCACTTCCTGTACTGAATGTGCATAAACCACAGTCAAATCCAGCTCTCTAGGGGAGCATTGGCCCTGCCAGGCTAACGTAGGGCAAAGGGATAAGGTGCCTGCCATGGACGCCAGAAGGAATGGCTGGATGCTGCCACAGTACTCAACTTTCAGGGATGCTTGGAGATCCCAAGACATCCACAAGTACTGCTGACCAACAGTACTTTCCCCTGCTGACACTTGTTCCTTCTCCAGCTGTGCCCCCCCTGTCAGACAGCTGCTGTGTTCCAAATCCTGTCACCCAGCTCACAACAGAGCTGTCAAGCACACATCCTCCTGGATATCACCTCTACACACTGTCCACTGTACCAAATGCCAAGGCAGGATATTACATTAGCCCAAATGACTTTTCCAAAGGTTTATGTCCATTTCTAGTAATTATTCGCAAAACTTGGAGTCCACACTCAAAACCCATTTCTTTAAGCCATGTAGGAAGAACCCTCCTGAGCACCAATGTTTTCTGCCTTTGCAGGTCACCGTTCCACAGGAATTCTCCAGATTTTTAATCTATGCAGCTTTCCAACTGGTTATTTAATAACACTGGTTATCAAATAAAACCCCACAACATTAAGCATTACTGTGTTGTCATCATTAGGATTCAGAGCCAACAGTGCCAATGCAATCGGGTACAGCTCATTGATATCCTGTCTGCATGCTTAGGGTAAGTATACTCCAACAAGAGGTCCATCACCTCCTTCATAGTCCACAACACAGGCTGCTCAGTGACTCCTTCAAAATGCTACTTCATTCAGAAGTATTCCCATTCAGAAATGGGTGATAAAGATTTCGGAGGCAGAGTAAATAAACCTGTGTATCAAAATTACAGTGAAATAACTACATCACCTGAATTAAATGTGAAGATGAATGACCCAGACCCAACGCAAGACTTATTTCCTCCTTTTGTCTGACCTTCCACATACCCCAAGACCATTCTTCTGTGCTGCAGAGCCCAGATCTGCTCTGCAGCTGACATGGGGTGTCCATAACAAGTCAAGGTTTGAGCGACACGTTTGGTAGAGCCCGTGGGGTCCCAGCAGGAACTTACCAGGAAGCGGACATCATCAAAGCCGTTCAAAAGCAGCTTACTCTCATACTGCTGCAGGCCAATGGACTCCAGCCACTCCCCAACACTCTGCTCCAGCATCCGTGAACCTGACGAGAGAGGAATCGGCAGACGCTTGAAAAGGGAGAAACCATTAAGGCGGTAGCAGCGGCACTCTGAGGAAGACAGATGGCATTGCCACATCATAGTCATTACCATAAAGAAACTCAACAAATTATGCTCAGAGAACAACAAATCAGCTGGCAGACAATTCCTCTTGTGTGCACAGAGCATGGACAACAAGCTTCCAGTGCTTCTGCGGGCTCCGGGTTTAATCTGTATCCCGGTTAACACTCCAAACCAGAACCACCTTGCCTGGACAGAGTGTTTAGAAGCACTCCTAGGACCAGGACATCTCATGCACTGCTTTCAGGGCGAGTTTCTTGCCAAGCAAACACATGAAGCCCAACCCCACTGGATGCAGATCCACTCCTTGGCTCATCTGAAGGGGGCGGGAGGAGGGCAGCAAACTTTCACCCAAGGCATTCCCAGCCAGTCTGCGATGCGAGGGAATGGAGTGGAGCCACGCAGGTCCTCTCATCCATGCAACTTGGGATGCACTGCCCCGGTCAGCGGGCCAGGAGCAGTGGAGGCACAAAGCAGCTAGAGAGGAAAGACATCTTCATGCAGCTGAGACAACAGAACAGACAGGATGGACTCTGAGAAAAGCAGCAGAAGCCAGACTAGAGCAGCTGTCCACAGGAGACATGCAAGACAAAGAGAGCACACAAACTGCAGCAGAAGGAAAGAAGGGCTTATACTTTTTTTCCCCCAGCAGTCCTCAAAGAGGCAAACCATGGTAAGGGCTTTTTTTTTGCTGTTATTGTGTTAAGAGGAGAAGAGGCTAAAGTGAGCCCAAGCATGAGGCTGAGAGTCCTGGCACTGTCCCTTTACCAGCATCCTGACACATAGCATTCCAGTACCGGCTGCACCGATGAGTCTAACTACAGCCCTGCACTGGGTGACAGCAAGAGACAGAGGAATCAGCCTGGTTTTCACCTAACACATTCAGTCCTGTCAGGTATCTGGTACATGCTTGTATCTGCCCTTCCTTCATTTTCTTCAGCCAAGCTCAGCTGCTGCATCCGAGCCCCTTGCTCAAAGAGGGAGCAGCTCTGGAGGAGGAGGCATTTCAGTTTCTTGCTTCCAAACCATGGCAAAACAAAAGGAAACCAAAGGCAAGCACACTCTCCCCTCTTCCTGCAGCAGCTCAAGTCCAAGACATGCCCTGGCACCTCCTCTTAGCCTCTGATAAATGAGATTCTTCCCAACACCCTACGGAAACTGTGCAGACAAGCTGTCCCTTCCCTCACCCCTGGGAAGGGAGTCCAGTGACTTGTTTCTCTCCTCTAGACAAGCTTGAGACCTTAAATATGGCCCAAAAAAAAGTTCAGAGATCTCCTTTTCCTCAGGGAATTTGCTATGCAAGACAGGCAGAATTTTTCAGGCTTCTTAGCACATCTGTTTCAAGGGTATGTGCAAACAAAAAGATGCTCAGGAAAACCAAAGTTTGCTTCTTTGAACCTTCAGGTCAGCTGAAGCTGGCTGGTACCTTCCAAAGCCTCCTTCCCCCACCACCTGCTGCAATGGCTGCACAACGCAGAGCTCACGGTGCCATCTGGAAATTCTTGGGATAAGGGATCCTGCTGCTTCAGTCCATAGAAGAGCTCCTCTGGTCCACAGAAGACTCGCCTGGCTCCTCTGCCAGGCGAGTCCGACAGAGCTGGCCAGTCTTTCTAGTGCACACTGCAGCACGAGCAACGCAGAGATCACAAAAGGTTTCTGCCTCCCTCCCCTAACACAGCCTTTAGAAGGGCAGCAGCTAAACCTGAAATTCATGCAACAAGCTCCTGCTTGGCCGGCGCCTCCATCCTGCCCTTCTGTGGGTCCCAGCAGCCGTGTCCCCTCCCGGAGCAGCGTGTGTCCTTGCGGAGCGCTGCAGTGCTTTGTCTGAAGGCAGCGAGCTCCACGCTTGCCGTTCCACTCGCAGCCTTGTCTCCGGCTTTCGCATCGCCTGTCCCTCCCTTCTCTTCATCCTCTTACCCCTCCCAGCTTTTCCATCCTCTGTACGAGCAGCGAGCAGAAGCTGCAGGAGAGGGGAGGGAGACAGCAGCTCTCTAACTCTCTGGTGGCAGTGACTGGCTTCTCAGTATTTACTCAAGGATGGACTACACGCCTTGGGTTTTCCAAAGACGATGTTACCGCTCTGCTTTGACAGTTCCAAGTGATTTGTGGCTGGCTCAGAATTAATTCATCAAGAGAGAGGTGAGGAAACTGCTTGCTGCCTACTACAGCATTTCTGGAAGCAGCCAGGGGATTGGCAGGGGAATGAAACCACGGCTCTGAGCTCCTGAATTCAGGCTTTGAAAAGATTATTTACTCTCCTCAGCCTTTCGCACACTCATAAATGTATTTCTGCTTTTAAAGGGGAAACCTACAGTGACACCAAGAGCAGGGTTTTAAAACCACTTCAAATCAAGACAAAATGAAGCAGGGGGTGGGGATTTGGAGGCAGGGGAGTGGAGGGGCTTATTTCAAAAAGAAAAGGAGTACAGATGCCCAAAGCATCCTACGTGAAAATAAAGACTAAAATACACTAAAATAAAGACTAAAATACACTTTTGCATGTTACAAGGATGGCACAAGAACAACTGAATCCCGGTCACTGTGCCCCCCCAGCAAGAGCCTGATCACAACTTCTGACTGAAACAAACTCCTGATGCTCATCTCCATCCTCCTTATGCTCCACGTTTCATGAATCCTATCTTCAAAGGGTTTGCAGATGCAGAGGGGTAAGCAGTCAATGGAGTGTAGTTAGAAATAATGAGAGTATTTCAAAGTTGCAAAGCAAGCAAGCGAAGCAATTCAGTTCCTCCTGCAAGACATTTTTCAAGTTACACAGCATGCTTCAAAGAAAACAGGAAAGGGAGAGGGCTACCAGAGCTCAGAAGGGCCCTTTTGGAAGTTACAGTTCTGATAATAACCTTTAGTGTAAAATATGAGTCTGTTTGGAGGATGAAATAAGGATGCGGGCCATGCCAGACAAAAAGCATCACCCTGTTTATGTGTAACAGTTTAACATGACCTGGTGTGGCCTGAAGACACTCAACCAAGCTTCACCCAGAAGGAAAAACTGCAAGTCCAAGCAAGTGCTGATGAACCCAGCACAAAGCAAAGCATGCAGGAGAAGCCAGTCAGGCAGATACTGCCATGACTGGGAATGATCATCAGGTGGAAGTCCTTAAAGCCACTGAGGACCCCATTTAGCCCACTGAGGAGGGCTAAAATCTCAGGCAGTGCATTAGGCAAGATGGACAGGTGAGGAGAATGTAGTCACTAATGCCATCAGCTGCAAGGAAACAGCCAGCATCCAGCTTTACTGAACTAAGCTCAATTAGCCAAATACAGATTGCTAACAAATTTCCCCCTCTTTTGTCCAGTAAAACACCAAGCACATTCCTCATGTCTCAAGTCAGAGGTAGCTCACCAAGCTCCAAATGCATTCCCTTTTCCTCCTGCCTGCATCAAGCTGATTTACTGAGCAGAGACCACTCATCTAGAACTTAATCTGGCTACTGCTGTAAAAGGCAATAAAGTGTTTCTATAAACACATTAGCAACAAAAGGAGGGCAAAAGAGAATCTCCATCCTTTATTGGATGTGAGGGGAAAGAGGGACAAAGGATGAGGAAAAGGCCGAGCGAATTCA